TCGTATTGTGATGTGAGGATCGTTTTCACTCTCAGTCTCGCAGTTTATGCAGCTTATATCTGCTTTTTTTGACTTTTTTAAAGCAGAGTAACTAAAAAAACAATAACTACTTTACAGAGTAAGTACACAGCAATATCGGTGATTGATAGTAAAGAGACATAAATTTTTCCCACATTTACCGTTGCAAAGTTGAAATGTTGTTTTTCAATTATTCTGTGTATCAAGAAGGGATCTTCTTAGATAATGAATCAAATCAGGGTACTTTTTCGATATAACGGCTCGATTAAACGTGTTGACTATATGCTAAGATTCCAAAATGAAAACGCACAAAAGTCAGAAATCCACATCAAGGTTGATATCATCGCAAACGTTGAGTATTCTCGGTGTTAGATTGCATTGTCATTGATGACTTTCAAGATGTAACGAATATTGGTTCGGTTCTGTTTGACGCACAGAAGATAGCGGCGCAGTCAGAGCATCTGATTCACATAATGCTAGTGTGCCTCTAACGATGATCTGGCATCAGCGTTAGTATCTACGGATACGTTTTCGCTGAAAGTCCAAGTATGAATGCTTTCTTTACATGCAGCATGCATTACCTTATCGGTACTACTCACAGACGAGATATAAGACATCAGTCTCCCTCACTTTTATTTTGGGATCAAATAGTAGTCACATGCCAACCAGAATTGAGAAATACATGGGAAGAAGAACCTTTGAAATTATTCCAGATATAATCACCAAAACATTTTTCGAAGCTTTACAAATGTAAACATAGTTACTGTGACGATAACGACAAGATTGAGGATGAGAGGGTAAGAGTTATCATAGTTAATGATTCATAGCGATTCCATCATGTTCTCAAACAGAAAGCCCGGTAAAAAACATGATAAAATCAACGTGTCACAGAAAAATGGATCTTAAAAAATTTGCATATTAAAATTATTTGCGTGTTTTCTATTTTTGTTAACTTACTTGATTCAAATTATGTCTAGCCACTGGACTGATTGGAATATCAGCAACAATGCCATGTTTTTCCGGTTCACATATATCCGGTGCAATAAATAGTGTTACAATGATATCATAGCAAAAAACTCAAATTTCTTTCAAAAGAGATTTTTATTGAATCGATGAATGTAGATGTGAATGCCAATCATCCTGTTACAATGGAACGAAAACATTTATATTGAATAGACTGAGAAAATAAAAAGTATATGAGATACTTACTTGCATAACAAGTGGCATAATTGAATCATGTAACATAGCTGTTAAAAATATCTTTAATGATTGTGAAAACGATCCTCACATCACAATACGAAAACGAAGAATATATAACACACTGTCTTTCTGCATGCCGCGTTTGAAATGAGAACAACAAAAACACAGACATCTTAACTCATGCATGTGTACGTCGTATAAATTATACATACGCAAAACGAGTTAGTTTAAAATTGTTTCTGTTCTACTCGGTTAATCCACAAAAATAAATATCGGTCGATCGGTTCACAATAATAGTCGTATGCGTTCGGATGTAATATTGTGTGAAATTTTATCCATTCTGTGGGTTGATTACTTGCCATATTATCTTCTCTCCACGCCCACATTGATAGAATTCTTAAGCGATTGAGTTTTTCCAGTATTGTGGGTAAAACTGACGTGATATCACTGAATGAATAAAAACTTAATGCGAGCACTTCGACATTTAAGAATATATGACAGAATTCGTTAAATACCGTCAGTAAATAATTCTTCAGATTTAATTCAATGATCAATTCTAAACCAAAAAAATTATGCACCATTTCAATCTAAGAAATTAAAAATTGAATATCAACTGTTCACGTGGAAACCTATTCAAGTGATACCCTCCCATTTCGTTCATTCATACGCCGATCGATAGAGGGTATCGAGCTAGTAAAAAGTCTAAAAGGATTTTCCCTCATGACCCTTGAAGCTTCGATTCTCTGGAAAACCAGTTTTTCAGAAAGTTTAAAAAATAACCAAAACCTTTCTTAATGAGGCATGATTGTAGCCCGCAAATTTCTGATTTGCAAAGAAAGATCGTGTAGAGTGGGGAGATGTCTCATTTTAATAAGAAATTTGCGGGCTACAGTCGTGCTTCATTAAGAATGCGGTGAAATCGACTGTCTCCTTATCTGAGCAGTTCTGATTTTTTCGATTTCAATAATGTCTTCCACGATTATTATGCTCAAAGTGTCTGTCCTTGGGATCATTTGTAATTCGTGGTGTGTGGTTATTATCGCCCAGTGTTTCTATTAGTTCCTTTCAGATATTCAGTATTCTAGTTTTAAAAGAATGTTTTAGATTGACACGTCCATCGAGTTTTTAACATTAAATGAAAATATTGATCAACATTTAGTAGTAAAACAATCTGCTGAATCAAATTTTGATGCCAACTTTTCTCCGTTCTTTGTAAATTATATCTTTGAGATTTGTATAATTATAATAATTATTTGTATAATTATATATTTGAGATGTAAATTATATCTCATTTGAAAAAGGGCATGAAGCTTGACAAAATGACATAAATTTTGTCATTTCAAAATTAAAACTGCGTTTTCAAAACTAAAAACTTTGAAAATATTTGAAAATTTTAAAAATGACTTTTTCTAGTAAAAGTTAATTTTTTCAGTGCGATTCAAAGATCCCAGGTACCTCTTTACGCACATCTTATAGAGAAAACATTTCTTAACAAAATGAAATATAAAACGTTTTTCTAAGACTTTCACAATCCGGTCAAAAATTGATGACAGAAGTCGCAACCATAAGTTCAGTATTAGTATAATTATGTGTTGAAGTTTCTACGAAACGAAAAGGGGAATCAAAACAGTTAAGGCTCCGAAGTATTTTAACGTTTAAAGGATGTGAACTCTTTAAAACCTTTTTTAATCCATTTAATATTTCCAAACGCACTTTTTTCGAGACCTTGCTTGCATTTGCGATCTGAAGGTGGTAAACAAATTGGATCATGTAATTGAAGGTTCTACGGCAAGTGAACAGGAAGTACCGAAGTGGAATTTCTACATTGTTCTAATTGCTTTAGAATTCTTAAGAGCTGTGGTTTTTTCGTTTTCTTACTCATTTTTAAAGTTACATGAGTTGTAAACTGAAAGGTCATTAGCTATCGGTCCAATTGTTGTAATTTGTGAACTATATTTCTGATAATGAGCATTATATGCTGGCATTTCTTGACCGCCTGACCATCCGCTTGTCATACCTGATGGAGAATCATGATAGGATCCGAAAATATCAAGTATAGCACATACATTTCCAAAAGTTGTTTGTTGCATGCAATGAAAGCTAAGATATTTACACCAAATATTATCAAGACCGTATCCTAATCCAACTGCTGGACTGAGCACATTCCATAAACATTGCCATGCATCGGTTTGCCCTACTACAACCGGCCCAATCTCAACAAAATCAGTCCATCGACCTATACGAGAAGCAGTCGCCGGTACTAGTCGTGTAATTTGATGTACCCCTTGAATATCACCAGCGTAAATAGGACTAGACAATGAAATATTGTAATAATCAGTTACGCATTCATAGTGACGCGGATTAAATATTGGATGGGCATCATCGTCTACTATCCACATATAACGATATGCTTTAATCACATGGATTGGAATAAATCGTTTAATATACCAAAATCGTTGTTGAATATCTACAGCAATCCATATGGCTTTTCTGAAAGCGTCATGACTTGTCCAACTGGAATTATCATGGACCATAATAACGTAATCATAATATTTTTCTGGAAATAACGTTAAGAGATTGTTCGAAAGCCACTTTTTTCGTGACCTCTCAGTCCAAAAAGTTACTAAAAGGCTCTTGTTTGTAGAATAACAGATAGCTAAATTCTTCAAGTTACATTTCTCTTTTCGTTCTAGACTAAGACCCTTGATAAGTGGAACTGCTGTGGTAGGTGGCCTATTAAATTCTGACAGAATATGTAATGAATGATTAATCGACAAATGAGAAGGCGTGGAAGCTATATAACTTGTGAAATTTACGGATATGTTTGTGGAGTTTGAAGGACTAGTGATATTCGATACTGCTTTTAAGTAAATAGTAAAACCTGTTCTTTTTAGCCTCGTTGAAGTAACTACAGAAAACATTTGCCATAATGCAACCAATAGCCCCGCTGAGCCTACAAAAACGTAAACATATGTGCTGTTTTTCATCTAAAACTATAAAAAGTCCAAACTAAATATTAACAGCGCTTTGAATATACCAGCAGTAGACTATGACTTGACTATAAACTGTGTAGAGTACTCTGCAAAACTAGTGATCCCCCTTTAACTCAAGAACCATGATAACTAGAGACTTCCAACTTGGTGTAGTCATAGTTCTTACTGAATGCTGATCACCCATCAAGTTTGAGCCTCTTTTACTAGATGGTTGGTGAGATATAAGAAATTTATTTCTTTTTCCGTAAAATATCAATAGCTCCTGAACTAAGAGAGATGAAAACTTTTTCTTTTTAAAGTTCGTTTATCTGATTTCTTCATCGGTTTATGTCTGCGTAAAAGTAAAAGAAATTTTTGTCCTACAGATGCGTACTTGATAAATTCAAAATGGAACTATTAGATAGAAAAACTGATGCTTTTCTTGGTTTTTAAAAAAGTCAACTGTTTATCTTTTAGCGAATTTTTTAACATTTTCTCTCTTCTTTTGAAAATTCATTTACTGTTTCGTGCCGGCAGAATTTATTATTATTTTAAATAACATTTTCTAATATAAAAACGAGTAACGTGAGGCATACTGTGCATCACAGGGAGTCTTGACTATGAACATGGATACTACATGGTAGACAGCTGTACGACTTATTCATGCAGTGCAAAAAAGAAGTTTGCTTTATATTTATATGATTAAACAGTATCTAACGAGGTTTATTTCTCTCGATTATATTTTCGTTTATTGATTGAGTAACTTATAACCTCTACTAGATGCATGATTTTGTTATGACTAGATGTTGGTCATGAATTAAAAAGTTTAAATATTTCGCTGGAACAATGAGAAATAGAAAATATCTACTTACCTATTCAAGACATTAGAGTGAGAGTAAACGATGAAGATATTTTTTTACAGAAACGGAAGAATAACAGTGAGGTGCTGTTGTTAGGTTTAGTATTAAGCAAGGTTGAGAGTACTTTTACAGAATCCTAACCTCAAATGCTTACAGTATAGGGTGTGACTATTTTGTAGAAGTGTAATGGAGAGTACTAGAAAGTTATCTGCATTGTTCTGAAATTCGAAGAATCTGAAACGCTAAGAAAGTAACGAAAGTTCATTTTTATTTCGTGATCTCCGAGTAAGAAAAAAGGCGCCTTTCTACCAGATATTCGCCGAGTCTTTTGGCATGCTAACAACGCCTCGTTCAAGTAATTAACTACGTAGAAAAACAACATGACACGCCTCTTGATCTGCTAATAATAAGATAAAAGCTTAGCAAACACAACTGACTGGAAAACTAGCTGGTATTGTTCATTTTAATCAATGAGAAAATAACACGTATTCTCATTCTGAACAGTTGAAAAAACTGCTGGTTGAACTTCACTGCAACTCATGGCTTGAATAATTCAATTTTTTGTCCTCTCAACATTTCTTAAAATACGTTTTTCCGTATTTCAATAAATCCCTTTATTTAAGAGAATTGCCGTAGGGTTTTTTAACCCTTTGACGGCCGGTGGTACATATATGTACCACCTGTTTTC